GCTTCCGCAAGCCACTGCATTGCTTCGAAGCAGCACAGTATGAAACCCGCCTGCGGATACTTGAGTGTATGACATTCCTTCATCCAACGCTGGAACATTGCATTGTCCATCTTGGTTTCTTCCGCAAGCCACTGCATTGCCATCATTTTGAAGCAGCACTGTGTGCGCAGAGTCAAGGGTTGGAATCATTGCAAATGCACCAAACTCGGGCAACTGTTGCACTTTTGCTTGGACCAAAGCTTTGGTGGCTTGTTTTCTGCACAAATCTCCCCGAGCGCATGCATTCAGGAAACACGTCCCTCTTTCCCACACAGCCCCCCTGCAAACCCATGTCTTTCTAAACTCAAAAACCTACAACCAGTTGTGTAGAGAACCGTGAGTTCGGCGAGTTCAAGGAGTTAAAACGAAAACACTCCAACCATCGGATTCGTCAGCAGAGTGTTTGGAGCCTTCATTTTCGTGAAGTGGCATCCACCTATTTAGGGATTCAAAGGATCCTCTTCTTCCCGGCACCGGTCGTTTCTTCACCGATCTAATTGATGTCCATCATGTGTTTGTGTCCGGCAACCAGTTTCGAGCCAAAGCACCGACACGAAATTCTGGTGACCAACATGTCACTACGTCTCTCGTCAGAGAGAAGCAACCGAGTCCACGAGGCCAAAATCACACCGAGTCCACGGGAGATGAAGTCACCACAGTCAACTGAAAATCGAACGAACACTGAGGTTTCCCAGCAAGTTGGCAGCAACTCGAGCTTGAGCCTTAGAACGCCGCTGAAAAACGAACTACGCAGCGAAATCGCTGGCTGCGAAAAGCTTCGAGTCTCCGAAGTCCGTGGCCGTCTTTTTGGACAACCGTTGGCGCTGGTGGGGAAGGCGTTTTCTCCCCCCAAAGCGGACTGCGGCGCGGTACCCTCGCCACGCCCGCAGGCGGTACCGGTGCAAGGGGTCGGCAGATCCCTCGGAGGATGTAAGGGGGAATTGAAGAGGAGGGGATTTCCTGCCCAATCAGAAAACACGGAAAACGCACGTGGATAAGGATTGTTTTGCTAAATGACAGTTTACACTACAAAACCCAATGGTCTTCACAGAAAGCTAGGGTGGATGAACAGGTAGAGTGTTTTACACATGTTCCACAGGCTCTTCCCGCGGCGCCCGGTGCCACGAGATGGAGACACCAAGAGAAACACCGGACGTTTTGCAGCACCGAACGACCCCAGACGACCGAGCACCGTGCTGCCCGCCAGTCTGGTCGTAGGTTGCCTATGCAATCCTTACCGCGCTGGCCCAAAATACACATACCAAATGCCAACGAAAAGGCTTGGGACGGGATTGGCAGAACATGGCTTGGTGGACATGAGAGCGTTTGGTAGGCTTCCCTGGATCTTGGATCCCCTGGATCTTCATAACTGGGAGGGTCCCCACACTTCCTCGACGGGGTCGACCATCTCGACTCTCGACTCTTTTGGCACGGTCGACGCGGCATTTCGACGGATCCGCGCGCGGTTGGTTGGGACGGTCCCTCTCCGGACTGGTCCGGTGGGTTAAAGCCCGGCGCTATAGGACCTTTGATTTCGAAGGGGGGGCTGGAAGGAGGGGATTTGGGGAATCGAGGATCAATGTCTGCCGGTGGATCAGATGGAATGCAGCAGGCAAGGCGTGGACACCTTGAGCGATGTGGAAATACGTGTCCTTCGTTCAATTCAACACAAATACGGGAAGGTATGATAGTACCATATAGTACCAGCTTAAACTTGCAGGTTGGTGCGTCTATGGATCCTCAACCTGTATGTAGTTGAAAGGTTCGCCAGGCAAGTGTGGCCAAGAACTAACACATCGGCAGCACCACCAAATACGCCCTTCACACCAAAATCTGCTAGACACTCCCAGTTCAAACGCTCAGTTTCTCGTTCGAGTTTCTACTCCATACAGCCGTCCCAACCACTCGTGACGCAGGACTGCGCGGATTTTCCGCTCACCTTAGTCTTCTTCTCAAGCAGCTGCGCCGAGCCCCCCGGGGCCACTCCGGCCGCACCTCATGGCGTGCCGCTCACGGCGCCGCGACGCGTTCCGCGAGGCGGCGGAACACCGCCTCGCCGCGGCGCAGGACGCGAAGCTTCCAGTCCTCACCGCGCCGGCGCAGGCGCAGCCGCTGCCGGGGGCGCTGCCGGGTGAACAACGGTGGAGTCTGACCAAGAGGAATCTCTTCCCCAAAGTGAGGTGGTTGGGGGTTGTTGGGGTATCTGGTCGGTTGGTTGATTTGGTTTCCTTGGAATTCTCGAAAAATGATTGGTCCCACTTGCTGGCTAAGTGGTCCAATTACGTGAAAGGGCCACGATGTAATTGCAAATTGGCAGCAGCTCATAGGAGCCAACAGCCGCTCATTGCACTCATGCATTGCTTAGTAGTAGATGATGGGCGTTTGACTGACGTGAGAATGGTCTCAAAATGAGCCCGACGTCCTCTGTGCGGACGTAGAAGGCATCACGCCTGCAGCACCAAAATCAACGCTAAAGCTAGCGCTAACTCACGCACAGGCATCGCTTGATGAAAATAGAAAAGCTTCATAGGCCAGTGCATGAGGTAAGAAACGAAAACAAATCCTTGCCCATGCATACAGGCCCTTTGTCGCAGATTCCAGTGTCAATTTCCAGCGTGTGTTTTCAGTTGTTCTACTTCAACTATCCTGGAGAACTGTAACAAAGATGGTCCCTTCCCAAAGCAAACCTAGACAAATAGCTAGTTCAGAGCAGAGAACACCAGAGCATGGCAAGCGTCATGGCAAGTTTCAACTATAGTCCTAGTGGTCCCCAAATAGATAGTGGTACTGTGTCCAATACGTGTCCAAAGGGTTGTTGCTTTTCTATCTATTTGGGAGTCTTGTATACCTATCCCAAAAAAATCTATACTTCTTACTTCGATTCAGAGCGCCAACCGGTTTTTGACTCTCGGGGGTGGGTGAGATCCCTTTGTTTGGTCCAATACGCGAATCGGATCCAAGATACGTGAAGCTCCGCCAGTACTCGTGGTTCGCTCGGTCGTAGTGGTATCCTGGGCCGACCAGGTGCGAGTGAGTGTGTTCTTCTTTTGTAGTTTTTGTCTTCTGAGCACAACAGTTTTTTGTGTCTCGTCCACCCGCTGTTCAACTGGTGGACATGGCTCTCGAGATTGGTACCACACTCGCCCTCTTGGGCACCGAGAATGTGCGGGAAATGCGTGTCTTTTCATTCATCCTTGGATCACGAACCCCTCAAGTCACTCCAAAACAAGATGGAGCCCGCGAACCCGAATGCAAACACGTTCGAAAAGCTACATATGTCCAAATGACACTCTTGTAGGACACTCTTGTGGGACACTCTTGTGGGTCACTCTTGTAGGAAACTCTTGTGGGACACTCTTACGGGACACTCTTGTGGGACACTCTTGTGGGACACTCTTGTGGGACACTCTAGTAGGAAACTCTTGTGGGACACTCTTGTAGGACACTCTTGTGGGATACTCCTGTGGGACACTCTTGTGGGGCACTCTTGTGGGACACTCTTGTAGGAAGCTCTTGTGGGACACTCTTGTAGGACACTCTTGTGGGACACTGTTGCGGGACACTCTTGTGGGACACTCTTAAGGGACACTCTTGTGAGGCACTCTTGCGGGACACTGTTGCGGGACACTCTTGTGGGACACTCCTGTGGCTGACTCATTTGGGACACTCTTGTGGGACACTCTTGTGGGACACTCTTGCAGGACACTCTTGTGGGACACTCTTGTGGGACACTCTTGTGGGACACTCTTGTAGGGCACTCTTGTGGGACACTCTTGTGGGACACTCTTGTAGGAAACTCTTGTGGGACACTCTTGTGGGACACTCTTGTAGGAAACTCTTGTGGGACACTCTTGTAGGACACTCTTGTGGGACGCTGTTGCGGGACACTCTTGTGCGACACTCTTAAGGGACACTCTTGTGAGACACTCTTGCGGGACACTGTTGCGCGACACTCTTGTGGGACACTCCTGTGGGACACTCTTGTGGGATACTCTTGTGGGACACTCTTGTAGGGCACTCTTGTGGGACACTCTTATAGGACACTCTTACGGGACACTCTTGTTGCACACTCTTGTGGGACACTCTTGTGGGTCACTCTTATGGGACACTCTTGTCGGACACTCTTGTGGGACACGCTTGTGGGACACTCTTGTGGGACACTCATACGGGACACTCTAGTGGGACACTCTTGTAGGACACTCTTGTGGGACATGCGGGACACTCTTGTGGGACACTCTTGTGGGGCGCTCATACGGGACACTCTTGTGGGACACTCTTGAGGGACACTCTTGTAGGAGACTCTTGTGGGACACTCTTGTGGGACGCTCTTGTGGGACACTCTTGTAGGAAACTCTTGTGTGACTTTTGGAGGAAGTTTCGTACGAAACGCTCGTTTTTGAGACTTGACGCGTGACTTTTGGAGGAAGTCTCGTACGAAAAGCTCGTCTTGCAGCCTCGCAGCGTGACTTTTGGAGGAAGTCTCGTACGAAGAGTGTGCCCTACAGGAGTGGTCCCACAAGAGTGTCCCACAAGAGTGTCCTACAAGAGTATCCCACGTCAAGTCTCCAAAACGAGCGTTTCGTACGAGACTTCCTCCAAAAGTCACATGTCAAGTCCCCAAAACGAGCGTTTTGTACGAGACTTCTTCAAAAACTCACATGTCAAAGTCTGCAAAACGAACGTTTCGCACGAGACTTCCTCCAAAAGTCCAGCGGAAACACCCATCGGAGGACACACATCACGCAGCCCTGCCAAGCAGTTTCGCGATTCCAGCCCCTCCAAACGACACCCGCTCACACACCAATCCCAATGTGACAGCGACATTCACCTCTACCACAACTCACAACCTCCCGATTCCCTGCGCCTGCCACGAATCTTTCCGCATCCACACGTCTAACGCGCACAAAGTACTGCGCCTGCCACGAAATGTCACCTCCGTCACACCTCGCAACCTCACCATTCCCTGCGCCTGCCACGAGAATCGCACTTCCACGCCTCAAAGCCCACACAAAGTACTGCGCCTGCCACGAAAAGTGGCAATATCATCTCATGTCAGCTTCAACAAAGTTTGCACCACACGTTTGGAATGATTTCGACCCGTTCTGAACACACTCCCATCCACCAAAATCGCCATTTCAGCTGAGACTGGTCACGAAAACAGAGCTTCGATGCCACACCCTGAAACGCAAATCCCAATGGCACAGCCACATCCAACGCCCCAAAAACACGACTCTCCAAACGCTAATCCCAATGGAACTGCGCAGCAATCTGCAGATCTCACAAAACGCTGCGCCTGTGCAGCGAAACGCATTTGGCTTCTTGCGCGGCATGTCATTTTCATGCAAATCACAATGGAATAGCGGCGCAAACTGACACGTGACACATCCATGAAAAGTCACTTGCAAAAGCTTCCCCCAATGGCAGCGCCTTAGCGCTCTACTGCGGACGGTTGCGGACGGTTGCGAACATAGAAGCAACGGGTCGCGAACAAGGCTCTACCCCCAGACCCCCAAGAGTTAAACGAGAACCCTTCGCTACGCATTCGGGAAAAAAGAGTTTAAGTAGAAACAATAGTAGTAAAACATCCGAAAACCCCAAGAAGAGACCCATAGTACTTGCCGTAAGTACACAAAGAATGTGTCCTCCGAGGTTTTGTTCAAAGCAAGGCCCTCCGACTTCTTAAGCGTCATCTCCCAAATGCCCAGCCTCAACCTGTATGATCCCCCCAATTCCCAGCCTCCCGCCACGCCCCCAGTGAAAAAGAACCAGTGTTCACCACCCCAGGCGCCGCAGTTCTCGAGCATCATCGCTCGGGCCACGGTGAGGTTTCCCAAGGTCCCAAACTCCTGGGCCACCTGGCTCCGTCCGGACCGACGGGTCCGTCAGATCGGGTGGCGATGGGTGGGGGGATGGGTAGAAGGATCTGAAAGATTCGTTTCACCCTTTCCGAGGATTTCTGAGCTTCGATATGCTTCGATATGCTTCGATCGTTGTGCTCCGATCTGGATGCGTAAGGCGAAGTGGCCTTCTGGGCCCGTCCCTGGTCATCCACGCGCGGAGCAGCGCCGGAGCGGAAAAGGCACCGAACCCGGCCGAAAAAGGCGCCGTCCGGTGAAGTGAGTTCACCCGTTCAACGGTGATCTGCTACAAGATGCCACAAGTCTGTAGCGATTCCAAGCATGTGGTGCTTTCCGCTTCTGTCTGAATCCCCCTCAAGATGGATGGTGTTTCATCAGGGTCAAGACGCCCAGCTGCCGCCCCTCCCTGCCCCTGCCGCGGGGCGCCTGCAACACTTCTCCAGAGTCTTTGGCAAAGAATTGAGTCACCCATTCGGACGACAACACGCCCACCTCACACGATGCGTGCCGTGACCTCGTCGAGGCCAGGCGAGGCCGTGGCCAGGTGCAGTGGAAACCGGCCAAAGCTCAACGTGTGAAGCTGCGCAGATGCATGTGAAGCTGCGTTGCTCCCAAGTACACGAAACCCCTGCACGAGTCGAATGAACCAACTCTCACCTATTAACTGCCAAGCTGTGGAAGATATGACTGGGGTCCAAATGCTGTACCACTGTTTTTTGTGGTGGCATGGAGTAGGTCACGTGTTGACCCGCAGCCAATGCAGACGGAAGAGGTGTGTTGCACAAAAGGTGTGTCCAAGCTGCTACAAGAGGGGGAAACTCGATGCAAAGCTGGTGATCAACTCCTCCAAAGAGCATCCACCCAGGAAACGAGGAAACGCTCCTCCTTGGAACCGTGGCCGGTCTCCCTTCGTGTTCCCTTCGTGTTCCCGTCACGCTCTCCCAAGGGGCTGTGAACTCGTAGCCGGCGCTCTGCGAGGCGCTCAAGCCCGATTGGTTCAGAGTCACGTCGTTGCTCCCACAGCGCTTCTCCTGACCGGTCGTTTCGAACACCGGTGGGACCCGACCGGTGGGACCGGTCGAAGACCGGGCCGAGACCGGGCGAGGTCGAGCCAACTTGGAGGTGTCCAGGGAGGAGAAAACAGCTTTGAAGCCGGGCCGTGGGCACTTCATGTAGCTTGGGGATGGAAAAGGGCCCTGTTTCTAGAGGCGAAGAGACTCACTTTCGGAGAATCAAACCAAACCCTGTGAGTCCTCTGGGTCTTTCATCTTGACGATTGCCCACAAAAATTCAGGGTTCAAAAGATTTGCCACACTCTGAGCACCCTTGTTTCGGAGGGCCTGGTTTCCAAGGTCGTGCCAAGTGGCAAGTACACTCTCCACCTTCATGCCCAAGGCTTGGTAGCCATCACACTCGCCCTCCACTTTGGGAAAGAGCTCCTGTGCTGATCTTTCGCACACTTCCATCCAACGCGGGCTTTTGGGAGGGTGATGGTGAAAGGAAGCTAAGAAAGCTGGAGAAGATAACACGGTCTGAGCTCAACAAGACCATTTCGCCGCAAATTTACGCGTTTATGATAAGCCAGTCACTTCCTTCCCCCGCAACAGCCCAGTAAAAAATGTGCTCTTCCGGTACTCAGAAACACCACGAAAGCATCGCCACTTTCCCAAGAATAAGCTTAGTATACTAGGTTGGAGGCCATCGCTCAAGGGCTGGACCAGCATGGCACTGGTGAGCCCCCAAGTTGATGCTTTGGTCAGCTGAGAAATCCACACCATGGATCCATGCAGCATGGATTTCTTTCCTGGGCACCCCGGTCTATCACTGAAGCGGGCCCTTCCAAGCCATGACCACTTGATCACATCCGCCAACCAACGCTGTCGCTGGGCTCCTCCATCTCCCGAGCAGTCTTGGTGCCCAACATCACATCAACACCTCCCAGGCTCGCAGGCGCCCAAAGGCAAAGCGGCGGGATGGTCCGATGAACACCAGGCAGATGAGTCGACTCAGCTGCATCTCCACCGGTTTGGGGGGATTCCCAAAAACTCATTGACCTACTTTTGACCTTTACGTCACTAATTAGATAACGAGGCATTTGGCTACCTTAAGAGAGTCGGACTCTGGCCATGCTGGGTTTTGTCTCGACCCCGAAACAGGTCTCACTGACCAGACGACTCGTGAGTCCATCCCCGAAACACCTCTCCACCGATCAAACGCGAGTCTTTGCCGGCAGGGCATAGTCCGAGTCTTACGACGATGCCCTTCTGTCGTTACCAAAGTGGCCATTCCTTTTGGGACAGTCAAAATCGAAAGTTGATGGTCAGCTAAAACCCATGGATTTGCAAAAATCATGTCCCATCGACTGCTAAGACCTGGTCCACTCCAAACCACTTCTAAGCATCGAGCAATCCGTTTTCATGTTTTCTTCCGCGAGTGTCCGGGACTGTTCAGCTGCGGAAGGCAGGTTGTCAAGGTTTTTTTCTATCCCTGATCGGACACTCATGATGATCAACACGGGATGTGGTTGGGACATGAAAATGTCTACAAATTGCTGAGCGCCTACCTCCCGGAAAAGGATACAGACAATCATCCGACGTCCTGCATTTGCCCGCTTCTACCACATCCCCATGAACCCTTCCAGGCTCCCTCGCCTGTGGGTCCCAGCCCTGTGTGCACGTCCACCCAGGCCACTTCAGCTGCTTTCGTAGTGCCAAAGCGCTTTGTCATGAAGTCCCGCAGCAGCACATGCGACGGCTGAAGCTCTTTGCCTCCAAAGAAGATGCCTTGTGCAGCGTGCTGTTTGTGAGCATACTCGGCTGGGAGCATGCTGTTTGTGAGTGTCACGGAGAACAAAAGGAGTCACACGGTTCTGGTGGCGCCCAAGCGGCGCTTCGAACCCACCTGTGGGGCAAGGCGGCGTTCAAGAAAATGACCAGATCGTCCATGGGCCTTGCTCTTGTGGGATACTCACTCTTGTGGGAGCCAATGCATATTCTAGTAAAGAAAAAACATCTGAAAATACGTTTTTGCTAGTACACATTGCCAATGCAAATTGTAGTAAAGAAAATCATTTTGGCCAAATGATGTTTGCTAGTTAGCCGGGTTTACGCCCCAAACCCGTTTAACTAAGAATCTGTTTGACAACGACGAAAAAGGGGGGACGACCCCTTAAACCTTAGACCCTAATAAATATATATATATATATAGGTAGAGAGGATTTCAGGGTTTAACGCGTTTAGGGGGTTATATAGATGTTAAGGGTTTAGGGGTGTTTACAGTGCGAGTCGTTCCGCTGGCCAGCTCGCTGGTCCTAGGGACACACACTCACGCAAGCCTGCCCCATGGTTCTCCAGCAACTTCTCCAGGTCATCACGCGACAGGTTCTTAGCTGCCCCGATCCCAACGTCACACAGAAGTCTCAGTCATTTGATCGTGGTTGCTTCGCAAACATCAAAGCAACTCTGCAGGAGACTCTTCAACATTGATGGGTTCAGAAAAACATTGAATCCGCCTACAGCAAAGAACCTCACCTGGACCAAGTTTGCCCTGCGTTTGCGGAGCTTCTTGTCTTCCTTCGCAGCAGAACGGAGCTCCTGGCGGAGCTCTGCTCTGCGGCGCTTAAGCTCTGCCATCTCTTCGTGCAACGATGTGTCGAGGGGAGGCGCGCCGCTTACGGATTGGGTTTCCCACCCACACCGCCCAAACTTACACCCTTTATGGGTTTAGGGTTTTTTCAGGAAAGCCCTAAAGGATAATTTTCCTCAAGTCCAAAAACTTTTTTTTTGGCGGCCCGACATGGCAACGGCACGAGACCAGACGCGTGAGCCGAAAGCCGCAAGACACCGCGCCGAGGCTAGAGCATGGGCTCAATGGCAACGCTTGACCTGTTGTGTCAGATAGCGCGTTTAGGGCCCGCTCGCCTGGCCTGCTGGGGGCGGGTCGTCGGACCCGCGCCCTCGGTCCTCCGACATGTCGTCGGCGTCCTCGTCGTCGAGGCTTGCTTGCCGCGCCCGACGCATGTCCTGCGGCTCGGCGCCGCGCTCCGGCCGCGCTCCAACGCTGTCGCGTCGCTGCGTGGTTGTTTTCTTTCTCTTTCTTGCTTTCTTGCTTTTCTTCTTGTTTCACAGTGGTTGTTTCTGTTTGCTTGTCGCTGCCGCGCGAACGCGCGGTGGCTCCCGCGCGTACTTGGCTGCAGTTTGTTCCTGTCTCGCAACACCGAACAGACGCCCAGTTCAGTCGTTGGACCGAAACATCACTGGCTATGTGTTTCTCGCACCTATTGGTTTTGATGCAACCCTGCAGGTCCCTCTGCCACCTATAGTCTTCTTCAGAAAAGCTTTTTGTTTACATGCTTTCGAGGACTATTCAAAACAACACCCTCGATCAAAACGCCTGGGCTGGGTGTTCCTGGGCGGAGGGCCCTCAGTAGGATTTCTCACGTCGCGCTCATCGGCTATGCCACTTCGCGCCCCGAGGCACCTGGCCGCCGTTGTGGGCACGGACCTATCTTTCTGTCTGTCTGCCGGTCGGTCTGCGAATATTCTTCGCGTATGCATGCACGTAGGCTTGTACGCGCGCACGACTGCACGTGTGTATATGAGCATGTCTCCCTGCTACGAGGGCCGTTAGAAGAGGAATCTGTGCCACGAGGGCCTGTAGAAGAGGAATCTGCGCTACGAAGGCTTTTGGAAGAAGATTCTGTGCTACAAGAAGTCGTCGAAAGGCAATTCTGTGCTACAGGTGGTTCGTGCAGCCTTTTAAGGGCCATTCTGCGCTACGGGACGCCGGCCGTGGGGCCCACCCCACGGTTTGTCAGCGGAGGGTAAACAAAAGGCACCAAAGCAAATCTGTTTATAGGGACCTTTTTCACAGGGATTCTGTGCTGCGAGGCCTGACAAGATTCTGTGCGACGAGGACCTTTCGAAGAGGAATCTGCGCTACAAGCGCCTTTAGAAGAGGAATCTGTGCTACGAGGGCCTGTGGAAGAGGAATCTGTGCTGCGAGGGCCTGTAGAAGAGGAATCTGTGCTACGAGGGCCTTTCAAAGAGGAATCTGTGCCAGGAAGGCTCCCAGAAGAGGATCCCAAGCCACGAGGGCCTTCAGAAGAGGATTCTGTGCTACGAGGGCCTTTAGAAGAGGAATCTGTGCTACGAGGGCCTGTAGAAGAGGATTCTGTGCCACGACAACCCAAAGCCTCCAAGACGGGAGCTTTCAGAGCCAGGGCTTAGGGTTAAGGGTAATCATGTGTTTACAGTGCCGCGGCGGCGCCTCCCCAAGATGTGTTGAGGGGAGGCACGCCGCTTTCGTTTGGGTTTCCCACCCACACCGCCCAAATTTGCACCTTTTATGGGTTTTGGGTTTTTTGAAGGAAAGCCCTAGGGACGGGTCTATATGCCATTCAAAAATCCCGGTCTCTAACTGGAATGTCCATTCTAAATTTTCCATTGTTCCAATCGAAACTTTCGGAAGCACAACTCTAAACCTGAAGAAGGGCCACTCTAAACTTTGCCAAACCCACTCTAAACCTTGGGAACACCACGCCAAACGTTTAGAAAGGCCACTCTAGACCTTGTACACTTTGCTTCTCAAAGCTTTTAGATTGAATTGAAAATCGATGTCGATAGCCACTCCAAAAAAGATATCCCGATTTTCACCCCCTGGCCAAGTGATGCCAAGCTACTTCGGGCGATGCACGCAGGGCGTTGGCGGTCCCAGGGGCGGACCGCGCGCTCCACGAGAGCATGCACCCAAGAACCGCCCGAGCGGCGCAAGCGCTGCAAGCCACAACGTTAGATGCCAAAGCCACGCGACAAGGCAACACGAAACTGACCACATTAGTAGAATTCACAGGGGTGGCTCCACGTAGCATAGCAGCGACACGGTTCACGAACAGAAAGGTGCCATGGGTGTCTGCAGCACGACGCGCTTGGATCGTGTGAGTCTGTTTTACTGCTGCGGCACAACCGCTCGCGCCACTTCTGGGCGTTCTACGGGGGCCCTCACAAGCGCACCCCGAAGAAAATTGTAGCAGACACGGTAGCGGGCCAATTGCGCCCGCAGTACGCAGTACCTGCTGCCACACGCGCAGACGCGTGCGTAGCGCAGGGGCAGGCGCGGGGGCCAAGAAGAGCTCCGCTGAGGAAGTGTTCGGCCTGGGCCACGAGAGCTTGCGGTAAAGTGGGCCGGTTGGCAGCACCCAAAAGCCGCAACACGTCGTCGGGCAGAACACGTAGGATGGGCGACGAATCTGCAGCGGTCTGCATCGGGCTGTAGGGCCCACCCTATAGGATTTGCCGCGAACCGGGCCGTTCGCCATTGGAATTACACTAAAATTCAAACAAAATCCGGCGCCCGTCCAAAATCCGGTTTCGACCCCGGGTCCTCGTAGCATGCGGGGGTTTCGCTTCCGCGACACCCTCGTTTCCACCATCCTTCTTTCCAACGGTGCTCTTCAGCCCCTGGGGTCCATTCAAAAGTCCGGTGGAAATTCCTCGGGCGCATGGACCCAGGGGAACCCTCTGCCCGCCTGGCCTGCTGGGGGCGGGTCGTCGGACCCGCGCCCTCGGTCCTCCGACATGTCGTCGGCGTCCTCGTCGTCGAGGCTTGCTTGCCGCGCCCGACGCATGTCCTGCGGCTCGGCGCCGCGCTCCGGCCGCGCTCCAACGCTGTCGCGTCGCTGTGTGGTTGTTTTCTTTCTCTTTCTTGCTTTCTTGCTTTTCTTCTTGTTTCACAGTGGTTGTTTCTGTTTGCTTGTCGCTGCCGCGCGAACGCGCGGTGGCTCCCGCGCGTACTGCGCTACGGGCGCTCCAAGCGGCCTTTTAAAGGCAAGCCTGTGCTACGGGCAGCCGGCCGTGGGGCCCACCCCAGGATTTGCCGCGAACCGGACCGTTCGCCATTGAAATTAGATTAAAATTTAGACAAAATCCGGCGCCCGTCCAAAATCCGGTTTCGACCCCGGGAGGCCAAGCCACGAAGGCCTTTAGAAGAGGAATCTGTGCTACGAAAGTCTTTTAAAGAGGGTTCTGTTCTACGAGGGCCTTGAGAAAAGGAATCTGTGCCACGAGAGTCCTTACCCTGGAAGTCGAACCACCATTGCTTTAATAGCCTTTAAACCGAACAACCATTGTTTTACTAAGGGTTTTACTCTACAAAGCCCGATCAACCATTTTAAAATGGTCTTTGATTTCCAGGGCTTAGATGAGTATTCTGTGCCACGAAAGCCTTTAGAAGAGGATTCTGTGCTACGAGGGCCTTTAGAAGAAGATTCTGTGCTACGAAAGCCTTTAGAAGAGGAATCTGTGCTACGACAACCCAAGGCCTCCAAGACGCCAACTTTCAGAGCCAGGGCTCACGGTTAAGGGTACTTCTTTTACTGTTAGTACCCACTTCGAGCGCTCTACTCTGAGTTGTAAATGGCTCGGGGAGCTGGTGATCGATACCAGCTCCCCTCCGCTTGCTGGCGGCGCTGGCTAGGCCTGTACGGCGCGCGCTAGGCGGCGCTTATGGTTTAAGGGTTGAGGGAGTTAGGGCTTAAAGGTTCACGGGTTAGGGGTTTGAGGCTTAACCTACAACCAAAAATCGTAAACCCAAAACCAAAACCCGAAAACCCGAAATCCTTAAAACCCTAAAAACCATACGTTATCTGAATTTGCTCAAAACAATGCTTTAAAGCGTTTTACAAACATTTAAAGCCAACCTGTGTTGGCGCACAGTGGGGCAAGCCCTAAATGTAGGGTCCTTGCTGCAGCTACTTCTACTCTATCCGAATGTTGTGATGGAGAGACACGCTGTGTCGCGTCACAACCGAGCAACCGCGTCATATCCGAGCAAAACGGTCCAAGTCACGTGTGCTCGTCCGATTTCCACGTCACAACTGAGACCCTCTCCATCTGGGTATGGGCTCACCCCTATCTTTCTTCATGGCTCCCTCCGCGAACCACATCAATTCACGCACTCACTCACGGCCACAAGGTGCCTTTCTCGTGTTGGTAGGTGCCCGCGACGAGGGCGTTCTTGATATAGCCGATGCCTAGGACCGATGAGGTCACCGATGCCGGCTGAGCCAATGTGCCGGCTCCGTGGCCCGGAAGTCGCCGGAAGTCGGTGGGCTGAAGCAGGTGAATCAGAGTGTTGGTTTTTTCCCCCAGCACTAGATGCACCCCGACTGATGCAAGTTCAGGTGGTTTCTCCGGCGTCTTTTCAACCCGTTCGCGCGCACACGGCTCGTCCGATTCTGGGCGACCCACGGCACGGACGGATGTCCCGCCGGCGACTCGTCCGATCGGGCCAGAGCAAAACCGCACCGAGAGGCCATACCTCGCCACATAGCCCGCCATCTCAAACCAAACACCTCCGCTCGAAGCCAGCCGGTGATGCTGACGGCGTGGTCCAAGCTATTCGAAGAAGGGCTGCTTACAAGCTCTACCTGCCTTGGCGTGTGCCTTTTTGGAGGTTACTCAATGAGAAGCATATTGCAGCTAGTGCACCTACATGCGAGAAGCCCTTTTTGCATCCCCTTCTCAGGTGGCAGCCAGCCAGCCTATGCATGAGTACAGGTGATCAACAAAACCTCTCAGACAGGACAGCGTGGAAGGCCCAGACAGAACTCCCAAACAGTGTTCATGGTCAAAGAGATATGACCGAGTGCAAGACACTCTGCTTAGAATCTTGCAATAGCCTGATCAAAGTCATGTGCGCGAAAACGCGAAACTCTGCGAAACTTCTAGAACACACTATCCCAAGTAGCCAACGCCGCAAATCACCAAAAACAAAAACGCGCAAGGGTGGATAGCAAGCAAAGGAAGAAAACCAAACACCCCCGCAGCTCCAGCACCACCTTTCCAACACCACCGCCCAGCAGCGCACGACCTGCGCAGTCGCACGCGCCTATGTTGCGATAGAAGGCCCCAGGCGGCACCGTCGGATTGAAAAGGGGATCGAAGTAGCCATAGACAGGTGCCATGACATCGCTCCTGGTTCGTTCGAACGCGATGTTCTTCGATGTGCTTTTCTTTCGGGTTTTAAGAGGAGTTGGCCGCCGTACACGTTCAAAAAAGGACGGACAAATCAGGTTCGTGAAGATTCTAGAACTCTCCCAGGCCAACCAAGATTGGCTTCTTCTCAAGAGTTTGCTTGAGTCCATGTTCCTCAAATTCCCTTCCGAAGAGCCCAAAAAGAGAAACATGACGGGACCACGACGAAACTCTCGGCCACTCCAAAAACAGAAGGCAAAAAAAGAACAAAGTAAAACTCAGAATAAACAAAAATAAACAAAATTCCGAAAAAAAAATAAAAAAGTAAAATTAGAAAATGCGGAAAGAAAACAAAACAAAAACAAACTCCCCGAAGACCCCCCGAACAACGACGCTCCCCGATGGGCCCACGGGACCGGCCGAACTCGATTTCGTCCTTCGGAGCCGCTCGAACTGCTCCGGCCTTGGCCGAACTCGGCGGTCGCGTGGCGTGTCACATGGGTCGCGCGGCGACCTGGATGGCATCTCTCCGGTTTTCCAAGTGGTGCGGGGGAAGTTTTACTCATGAGCAGTAGGAATTGCTGGTGAATGTTAGAAAGGAGAGAGAGAGAGTGTGAGAGGGAGTGAGTGAGAAGGTGAGTGAGAAGGTGCTTTACAAGCTGGTTACACCAACAACCAGCTTGTTTCTCGTCAATTTTCCCTGTAGGCCAATTCTATGGTCCTTAGCCTCCTGTAGTATAAAATGCCAGCTCCAAGCAGAGTTCGTGCCGAAAACAGAAAACGATCCAGATCTTCCCGTCCCAAAACGTCCAAAGCCCAAGCCGCAGCCGTTCTCAACCTTTCTGTGTTTGTTTTCTTTTTCGCTGAGCGGCAGCAAGCAGTTCCGGTTCAGGTCCACATTGTTCTCGTTAAAGCGCCGGAAGTGGGCCATGCCGTAGGGGTTCCTCGATGAAAAGCGGCAGGTAAACTTGGAGCGTCTTCTTGTGGGGCGTGCGGTACACAGTCCGATTGAGGGAATTCAAAGGCCATCCATAGATGGATCTGATTGGTAAGCATGGCTGGTGGGGTCATACCAAGATTCTTATTTCTTTTTCGTAGGCTCACACTCCCTTGATAAGCATGGCCATGAACCCACCACTTGCTGAAGCATGGCGATCTCGCCTCCGCCATGGCGATCCCGAAGCAAACAGGTCCCACGCATGCACCGTGTAAGCCCATGGATGTCGGTAAGCCCATGGATGTTGGTTCATTTCATCGATATCCGTGGTTTATAGTAAAAGTGTTGTCCATGCCCTGCCATACAAAGAACCATCCACTGGTATGAAAATCGATGAATATGCCCGTATATGCTTCCATATGGGTTAGTGACGTTAGTGATGGTTCTGCATATGTGTTAGTCCACCAAGGCTCACCGCGTGAACGAAGACCGCCGTGGAGGCCACTGGGCGTTCCTGGCGACGACAGGCGAAACTCACAGGACCGACTTAGACTGGAAACCTTGGTAAAACAATGGTGGTTCGGTAAAGCCTATTGAGTGAATGGTGGGAAGCCTAGGGACTCAGTAAGATCAAAGATTGAGCACGAAACAAAAAGACTTGACAGGATCTTGTTCTCCAGCAGACCGTCTACGCGCAGGCCCGGAAATAGCACGCAGTCCAGTAAACGTTCCATTCGAATCCATGTGCAGCGTTGGCAGCATCGTGCCCACAGCTTTCTGACGCAGCGACACTCGCATTGCGACTCAATTGATTTGATGGTTGTGGTCTTGGGGTTGCGAGTCGAAAAGTGACATGCGACCACAAAACATCGCGCTGGCAATCAAATTCAACGGACTTAAAATTAAGCCAATCTGAAGCAGGTGTCCAGGGTCACAACTTCCCACTTACCGCAAGGGTTGACTGTTCTCTTCCTCCTCTTCCTCTTTCTCCTCTTCTTCCTCTTCCTCCTCTTCTTCATCTTCTTCCTCTGAATCTGCAGGCGCCCCTCCAAAGAGTCCACCTCCACGTGGTCCAAAAGCTCCAAGCACTGAGGCAAACAGCTTCTGCTGCATTTCATACAACTCGTTCTCCATATCCTTAGGCTTTCTCGGAGGTACAATGAAGGAACCGCACGGGCCACAAGTAGCGTCGCAAAGGACACCTACGTAACATACCACTGGCATCATCTTGTCACAAGACTTGCCAAGGATTCAACAGTACTGACTTCATGGGCACATGACGTAACCATTCATCATTAGCACACCATCCCTCAAAAAAAGAGGTCGAAAATTATCAAACAAACACTGGAACAACAATCATCGTGTCCTTCAAGACTTCCTGGAGGATTCTTGAGTTTTCTTGCCTTTTACTTTCAATATGCCACATCCCACACACTTCCAATTCACCCGCATCATCTAGGTTTCGCCCAAGCATCAGGCATCGCGAAGGCACCTTGCCCACGAAAGGCCCCGAAGTTGCTCGGAGCTCGACCTCGTCGAGAGTCTCGAGCCTTCTCCTCGCTGGACGTGTGGAAGCGAACCGTGACGCCCGCTGCCCGGCCAACGAAGAACTCCAAATTCTGGAAGGACTCAAAGGGGTCGTCCTCGGTCGTTGAACACCGTCGTGTGCGTGCGTGCGCGCGTGCGTGCGCGCAGGTGTCAAACCTTGTTCTTAAGGGAGCTTTCGCTGTATCACGTTCATTTTAACTCAACAAGATACCTGCTCTGGTTCAGATGTTGATTGGTTGCTGTGGTCCCCTGGTTTGTTTCATGTGGTTCGTTTACCTGGCCCATGTACCTGAAGTTGCTTGGTTCTAATTCCATTGAACGCCTAGAAATAGATGGGCTAATGAGTGGATCGGTATTCGACTGAAAAAGGTTCCTTCCGAGCTTCTTCCTGTGTGTGTACCCCTTGGACTCACAGGGATCCTCCTAAGCAGGGGGACCATCCATGTGCTGTGAGCGATGGTCCAACGAAGCGGCCACAGTACATGCGAATATCACGGCTGATCACCGTGACGTACCTGCGATGGTTTGAACTTTTGAACAAGCTGTGACTCCACTCTCCAGTAAAGGTCTAATGAGTTCTGCAGACATGAGCGCACGTCGTCGCCTTGTCGTTTCGTGCTCGTCGGCTTCACCTTCGAGATTTGGGCCTCTACTTGAAGGTTTCGTTGAGGCCTCACGGCGGCCACTGTTTCAGCTATCTTCAACTCACCTGGACCCTCAGGCGGTTTACTTAGGCTGGCGTGTGGCAACCGCAATCAAGTCCGTATGCATATCCATAAGTGCGTCTGGCTTTATGCCAGCCCAGGGTGGCCCCGACAAGTGGCCCCTGTAGACCCGTTGAACGGGGGTTTGTCTATGTTTCCACTGCCGCGGAAACGCACGTGCCCAGTGGGCGGAGTAGGCTTGTGCCAAAGTTTTTAGCCGAGATTTTATGGATTATTGCAGTCCAAGTAAGCAGTCTGCCATTAGGTGACCGCAGCGGTCTTGAGTAGGCAGGCGTTGGGCAAGCCACTACGTGGTCGCAGCGACCAAAGCTTTTCAAGGTTCATTGGGACCTGTCGTAGCCTTAGGTGCACACACAGCACGCGCATTTTTAACGAGGCATAGGTCGTCTGGCTTCATTGGTTCCGGGCCCCTCCATTCGTTTCCCTTTTTCATCATTTCCCTTTTCAAACACTTTCTTTCCTCCTTTTGTTTCATGCCTTTCCTTGCTTCATGTCCTGTCATCTCACTCCTTTCCTTCTCTTGCGCGCACGTCGGTCCGGGCCTTAGTCTGCAAGCGCACACCTACTGTTAACCCAGGCTTCAGGTCGCCCAGATTCTGAGGTATGGCAAACCGTTTGTCCCTGTGCATTTGGTTCCCTTTTCATTGCCACCACACACACCTTTGTCCCGTCTCTCCTCTTTCTCAATTCTTCCTCTTTTTGTCTATGCTGCGCGCACAAATGCACATTAGCTTATCATTTAGTTTTTGCCTCCCTTTGGGGAGGCGTGTGTGTGTGTGCACTTCTTGGACTCACAGGGATCCTTTCGGATTGTTCACTGCGGTTTTCCTTTCTAAGCAGGGGGACCATCCATGTGCTGTGAGCAATGGTCCAACGAAGCGGCCACAGTACATGCGGATATCACGGCTGATCACCGTGACGCACCTGCGATGGTTTGAACTTTTGAACAAGCTGTGACTCCACTCTCCAGTAAAGGTGTAATGAGTTCTGCAGACATGAGCGCACGTCGTCACCTTGTCGTTTCGTGCTCGTCAGCTTCACTTTTGAGATTTGGGCCTTTATTTGAAGGTTTCGTTGAGGCCTCACGGCGGCCACTGTTTCAGCTATCTTCAACTCACCTGGACCCTTAGGCGGTTTACTTAGGTTGGCGTGTGGCAACTGCAATCAAGTCCTTATGCATGTCCATAAGTGTGTGTAGCGAGACCTCTAGGGCAACGACTGCCTGAAAGAACGAGAATAAACCGTCTGCGCTCGGTCTCCCTGTTTATACTTAGCAAGTCTTGTTGAAAGCTTTATTACAAACCTTCTCCAGTCAATTGCACTTGAGTGATGTTGATCTTTGGTGAGCAATGTTGGATTAGAACAGCAATGGTTGGATTAGAACAGCACGGGTTTAGAGCACTGTGGAGATATGAAAGCTTATAACTTAAATAGCAAGGACCTCTCTCATTCAGCTCAAGTCATCTGCTTCCACTGCAGGTGGCTTTCATAATACTGAACGTGGATGGTTTCTACTGGCGTATGTTGCCTTCGTGTTTCTCTGTGAATATGTTATATATGCTATAGCTTAACTGTTGGTGTCAAAGCCTTTTGAAACATATATAACTTATATAACTTATTGGTGAGATCATACATATATTATGTAACTCGCGTTACAGCCAGGTGCCCTCGGAGCCATTGTCTTTGTTGCTGTTGGGTTTGTCGCTGAGTGAAGCCTCTGCAGTTTGTCGATGGCAAAAAAGAAACAACAGAAACGTACCAGCATCCACACCCAGAGTCATCACCAAAACTGGGCATTTGCATCTTCCGTTGTTGCTGCAGATTGTTTTGGATCTCCTGAAATGACTCTGGTAAAGGGTTAAAGCCAAGGTCATGATAGAAGCGTGCCTCCACCCATGTCTCTGTGTCAAACGCCCCTGCGCAATCTTTGCTGTATGAAGCCTCTAGAGCTTTCCAAATCGGCATCGTCTCTTTCCTTGGTAGACGTGTGAAACTTGTTTCGGTCACACGGTGTTTTTTGACCTATATAGTCAACAGTGAATACGAATTCAATACTGAAAACACAGAATGCTTCACGCTTCTTCAACTCACAGGCAAAAGGAAGGCAAGTGGTGCTTGCAGCGGAGTCTCAGTAAAGCCTTTCTTCGCTGTTCTCGAATCTGGGCAAAGTCTCTGGGCCGCTCCAGTTGTAGAGGTTTTAGCTCTGCCCACGCCTTTAAGAAGAGAGCACTTTCAGAGTTCCTGCGCCAGGAACATCACGGAACCTTTACTAGCAGCTTGTAGATGAGACCATTGGCAAGAAGATACCTAGCTGCTTCTCTTTCAGCTACGTACAGTAATAGCTGTCTATCATGCTCACCTATCACCAACTCCATGCCATCTAAAACGCTCAATACATGAATCGAATTTGAAGAGCAGCCTCAACCAAAACCCTGGCTCCTGTCTTGAAAAGTTCTCGGAACAAGGTCGAAGTAGCACTCGATGGCTCTTTGGCAGGATCGGAAATCTCCACGCCCACATTCACAAAGTGCTAGGAGGTGCTGCAATTCAGCCAAGTACCATTTTGGGAAAGCGACGATGTCCAATTCTTGTGAGCCAAGGTAGGGATTCTTGAAATCTGTCCTTTCCGGACTCTTTGTTCGATTGATGTGATCCGGGAAATACTTCGGAGCTTTCGGATGAACTGTGACATGGAATATCAAACGATGCAACGTTCTTTTGGCTGCGTCCCATTGAAAGTCATCTAGTTGCAAATAGGCCAGGATGAAGCGCATCAGCAGAATTAGCTGTTGGTGTACTTCTTCCTGTTCGGGATGATCCTCCAAACTCACCCCCAATTCGCTTGCAAAGGCTTCAGCCGATGCCCCTGTCTGGGAATTGGCTGCTAGATTGAGGACAGCCTGACGCTGTTCCCGCTCATTCTCGGACTGAAGGTATGCATTCTCAACCATGCCCTCCAGCTTACTCACATTGAAGCTAGTCATCTTCCCACCCGTGTACGGATTCAACGGATCCTGCGCCCGCTGAACCATGGCCATCAAGTTCAACATCTTCCCAGGCAGCTTCAGCATGCGCTTGCGCAGGTCAGGCATATCCAGGAGGAAGAGCAACGGATAGTTGCAAAAATGTTCCTGGCTGCTCTCTTCTAGCCGTTTCGCACATTGCTAGAATCTAGAGGCGACGTTGTCCAGAGAAAGGATATGCGTACTTACCAGGAGCAATAAACAAAGGTAGCGGTAGCAAAAATGCTGAACCTGACCGAGCTTCTCGAATGACAAACCAACCTGCCTCTGCATCTGTCACTAGGAGGTCTTGCATAAGACCAGTCTTCAGCTCCTTCAGTTGGCAGAAACAAAGTGGAAGATGTAGGCGATTCTTCCACTGTTGGTGCTCAAAAACCTGCAACTATACCTCTTGGTGCGTCACGAAACCTGTCTGCACAAAAGTTGGAACATTCAATGAACCTCACAAGATCTATACTGACTGGTTTCTGGGTGTTTCCTGCATTGCATTGAATGGAAACAGTTTCGTTGAAGCATTGCAAGGTGTTCCACCAGCTTTAGGTGGCACATAGCCATCATGCATTTTGCTCATTCTGGAGCGCTTCAGCGCTCTGACTCAAACCCATATTATACAATGGCAGCGCGGCCTTCAAGTGCTCCGTCAAGGTGGAATACCCAGAGTTTGCTGCTGAACAGTTCCTGGTGTTTGCCAAACAACACACGCACAAGCGAAAACGTGGGATCTAGGATTGTGAGCCCTCTTACCAAAAATATTCAGAAGTCATCTGCCCCCGAATTGTCCGAAGTATCTCTCCAAGGTCAGAATGGCAATGCTCGGTTGTATCAAACTCACAATACCAAGGTGCTGGCGCAGGCTCTTGATGACTCCCCTCAACTCAATTGTCGCAGTGCGGTTCCCATTCAATTGGTCGATGGCATCCAAGTGGCCCAAGGACTCCTTGAAACGCCCCGCCCGCATGAGCGCAGTGGCCAGCCGATGCTTGGCCTTCACAAACGCGGGAATGTTGGTCGGAGTTCCAGCGGTAAAGTCCATGCGATTGACTGCTTCTTCTGCGTCTGCAATGGCATCAAGCGTGTGCCCCAGCTTCAAGAAACACAAGCTGCGATTGCTGAGCAGCGCCATTGAAAGCTCCAAACTTCTCTTTGGAAATTCTTGAGACGTTTGGGGAAAAATGCCTTTCTCACCGTCTGTGGACTTTCTGAAGCCAAGCAAAACAAGGGCCTTGGTATAGCTCGCCAAGGCCTGTTCAAAATTGCTGCTCTTGAAGGAGGCATTGCCCCTGTCCTTTTCCGCCAATGCGGCCATCTCAAAAATAACCTGGGCCACTTGTCGTGCAAGTCTTGTTGCCCCCTGTTCTGATGCACATGCCTTGACGAAGCTTGCAACAGAGTATCTGCCTGGAGGTGGCAGCTTTGCAAAATGTTTTGGGTAGAACCTCAAGATCGCCTGAAGCTCCTGCCATGATCCATGGGCTTCTAGTGCTTGCACATCACTTAAGGACTCGCACTTTTCCGGCACAGATACCAATCAACATCCCATAGTAGTTGTACTTGTAGAAGATCAAGTGCTGAGCAGATTCAAAATCCAAGCAGCGCACGGCACTGCAGCTTGGGTCACACAGGTACCCCAGCAAGCCCTGGGACAAACACTGCTGGAAGTCTGCCATGCCGCAATGAACGAGCTAGTGGCAGCTAGAACCCATGTTGAAATTTCAAAGGTTCAACACATGTGCAGGTCATTGACTGGGAGCTCTTTGTTATGAGTAATGAGTGCAACCTCTGCCAAACACAAACTTGGACCGGGGGTTCTTGACCTTGAGCCATCTTGAGCAGCCAACACCACTGAAAAAATGGTATGTCCGTAATCTCACTCTCCTCACCTTGCACATCTCCTCACCAATCCAACTGTCCCGCCCGGCTCGTCTTCGCTCGCAAGCCGCGCGGCTCGACGCACGGCGCTCTGTGTCCGCGACGCTCGCCTTCCATTGCTTCAGCAAGGAGATCTGAATCGCACTGCCCGCGTAGCCTTCCACACCTCAGCGAAATCGCTTTCGGAGCCCGGATTTCAACGGCCGGCACTGTCGCAAATGGAGCCAGGCAAGTGGAACCAACAAGCAACCAGTAGAGTCTTTGGCCTGCTAAGTAGTCTTGGTGGTTCACTTGGAAGAATGCTGGTGAGACTTGGACCATAAGCCTGGCCGTCGGTTTTCGGAGTTCGGATCCTGCTTGGCGTCAAAACCGCGTTGCATATCGAAAGTCCGTTTCTCCAAGGCAACGGCCCTCTCAGTCGTCTAGTCTGTCTTTTCTAGTCTGTCCACGCCGTTCCCAACGGCCGTGCGGTCCTGAAGGGGCAATGTCCGCTGCATCAGAAAATAAGGAACGTGGAAGGTCCTAAAAGACAAGTGAGAAACAATAACAGTTGCTAGTGAGATTGCTATTGAAATGTTTGTTTTGTAAGAAGAGCTGTGCCCAAGCCCTTTGACTTGCCGATGCACCATGGACTCCACTGGAGATGACCACCAGACCACGCGCAGGTCCAGCACTCTTGCTGGCGCAGATCGCGATGTCGATGGAGTACCTCCCAACGGGCTAAGCATTCAAGTTTCTTGAAGCATCGTGACACCATTTCAGAATTGATTAAGAAAAACTACATCACTTCGACGCATAGTCCATCCCAACGACCCACCCACCATCCAAACCACTTCGTCGCTTCGCTGGACTTCCCGGTGAGTCGCGCACTTCCCCTGCTCGTCCTCCGTGACCGGCAACGCCACCAGCTCGGCGCCGGCCGCCTGGGCGGCCGCCAGGAACTTCCCGCGGGCCTGCCGGCGAACAGCGCCGCTGTTGGATCGGAGACTGTTGGGAGCAAGCGTTTTCCAAGTATTGAGGGACAGAACTGCGTGTTTCATGGATGTATTCTCAGTCATGCAAAGCAGGGATGTGCCTTCTCCAGGATATGTGTCCGAAACAAAAAGGGAGGTCCAGCTGAGCGGTATCAAGAATGATGTCAGTGTTAGCTTCCTCGGGAGTGTTTGACACACCAGCCTACGATTTACACTTGCTTCCACGTGTTCTGGGGCATGTACACGGAAAACAGGACAACCGCCCCCAATGAAAGCGGTTGCTGGTTGTTTACTAGCCCACAACTTACTGTACACCCAGACGCTCATGGACCCTCCTAAGTAGGGGGACCCTCATATGAAACATGTCAAACCAAAGTCGACCTGCCGGATCTGCCCCAGCGCCACTGGACCAAACAAAAGGCACCACGCACCTCACATCGCCAGGGGCACAGCCGGGCACAGCGAAGCAACCCGCCGGGAACCACGACGGCCCTGACCTCCTCATAGGACTCGGAAAAGGCGCTCAGTCCGCCGGTGTCCATGGCGCTGGTCCGGCGTTCGTGGTGGTCGGGCTGCGGCTCGTGGGGACGCGGGGAGCGGAGACGCGGTCGGTGCGGTCGGTGCTGGGTGGGTAGGGTTCCAACAACGGGCGGGGACAGCCTGGGTGTTCGTTGGAAAACGGTCGGTTTTGGAGCAGGATCGATCCGTTGCCCAGTGATTCCGGTTCCGGTGGAGAGACCCTGCACTGCATCAAAAAGCGGATCTTCGCATGCCCTTCATAATATGTATCTTCAAGGTCTTCAATGTCTTCCATGTCTTCTTTTGCAGGCCTTCTGGCTCCAAGTTCCATGACCTGCCTGCATGATGACATCTTCAATCAGCGACGCACAGCTGGCTTGTCAGCCACTCCGGTCCAGTCGGACCGGACATGGACGGCCAAACCGGGCGAGGACACAGAAGGTGACCGCAGCTGACCGCCGCTAGGGATTCGCTGGAAAAATGGACCCCAAACGAACAGAACAGCGTAAAACGACTGCACAGAGTCTTGAGATCAATGACCTCTTTTGCATCCTGTCAAGAATGTCATTTGCTTGGGTCCGAAAGCCATCCAAAGCTGAAAGAAAGGTGATGTCTCGAATCACCACAGCTAGAAACCACAGCTAGAAAGGAGAAAACATTCCAACTCTCAGCTGATGTTTCATCTTCTTCCATGGATTGCAAGCAAATTCCACGTGCAAACGTGCAGGTACCTGGGGTATGTCTGGTCTGGGCCTCCTTGCAGGTCACCTGAGAAGTCCGTCGGATATTATGAAGGTTGCGTCAGTCGGTGATGAGAAGCCAAATAGAAAATGCTTAACCACCAGCAGTCACAAGACGGGGTGCTGAACTTGGAGGTTAGGGGTGTCTTTGATCCACTTACTGGATCGGACTAAACACCACCCCTTTGTGACTCCTGGCATATAGGATTGTCCGGGATCTCTTAAATTCGTTTGTGTTAAGCGAAGATCTTTATGAAAAAAGGACGACTGTTCGATTTTGGGCTTTTGCGATTGTCCACCTCCAGCGTCCATCATCCAACATCCCCTGCTCGCCAATCCCGCGGCTCCCCACGCTGGCAGCGGCCGCTGCTGCCGCAGCACCTCCTGACTACAAATACCCCAAACAAACATCTGAAGTCTTTCTTGGTGCTCCTCCTATTGGTCAAAAGGGGTGAACATGTGGACAGCATCGATCGAAACGCCAGTCCAGTCCTGCAGTCTTCTTTGCCATGCTCTTGGCAACCCTTTTTCTATTCCTTTTCCAAACATCTTCTTTTCTCAACCCCGCATTGCTTGGACACGCCCAACTGGCGGCCACCACCTGCGGCGGAGGCCGCCATCGCCGCCACTGCCGGGTCAAGGCCCGGGTAGGGGAGCGCATACGGCCAGGCACCTGTGGGAGCCGAAAGGGCCCAGCAGGTCTGGCAGGTCCCGACAGGGAGGGCTTCAGTCGAAGGAGCCCTGGCCAGCCCTGGCGATGACCGTGAAATCGCAGCTGACATCGCCAGGAATCTCCCGAACCCTTTGAGGGCCCAGAGTTGTGGAGGTGTTGTGGAGGTGTTGCGGATTGCTTTTTGGAGGAGCAGCAGGCATTTGTTGAACTGGAATGGCAAAAAGAATCAAGAGATGCTCCCGATAGGAGCGGAACCCAGGGCAATCACTCTGGCCGCCCTGGCCTGCTTGCCGGAATCGGGGGTCTCTTGGGTAGCACAGTATCCCAACCGTTTTGTGCTCTAGATCCATCAAGGTCAACCCATGCGTCTCCCAGGCTCCTCACAAGAGAGAGGCGCCGAAAGAGGACACATCGAATTTCGATTAAACACCATCCCCGTTCAGCCAACTCCTTTCAAAACCGCATGCCTCTGAAACCTTGAGATCTTGCAATGCTCAACTCCTCTGATTCTCAAGAAACCCTGATTCACCTCCCGTCCGGACGAAGGATCGGTGAAACCGTGTCGACTGCCGGGGTCGTGGAGGTGAAACCCGCCTGCTCCTGGAACTGCTCCCAGGGGCGGTGCCAGAGCACCTGGGAGAAAGGCCTCACAGCGCTGCTTTTCGCACCGACGGCTCGGCGACGCCGTGCCAGGAGCCGAGAGGTGACATGATGCACTGACTCGAAGCGTTCATCCAGGTGAAGCGACATTGGCGAATGAAGTAGGGGCAGTCAACACCAACTATCGAAGTGACCACGATGTACCACGATCAGTGTTCCATGAGCAAATGCTCCACATTTGCTACCTCAAGGAATGAGTGATCACGTATCAAGCAAACCAAAACCCGCTCCCAGTTCCTTCCCTGTTCTGCTCTCTTGCTCGCACAGCAGCTCCCCCCGCTTTCACCAGGTTTACGGGTGGGGCGCCCGCCCCACCTGCGGGTGGGCCAGGCCCGGCCATGGAGACAGGCCAGGATAGTAGCCACCCGGCGGCAAAGGCCTGACAAAGCCATTCGCGCTTCGCGCTTCGCGCTGCGCGCTTCAAGTGACGGGTTCGAGACGCTTCCCCGGTGTTTTGGGGGGTCTTCGCGCTGTTGGAAGCGGGTGCGCAGAGTGTTAAGACATAGGACCTAGGACTTGGTGGTGCATCGACGGGTCCATCGACCGGTCCGAGGTCTGAAGCAGCGGGACCAGTGATTGTTTATCTTGTTCCTTGCAGCGGGACCTGTGAGGAACACCACTGATTCGTCTCGTGAACCAGCGGTTCCTATTGGGTTGTTGCAGCTTCACTGTGAGTCCCCAGCAGCGGCGGCGCCAGGAGGGGGTTGGCCAACGAGGCTGCGGCCGCTGCGGCGGCCCTTGCCGGGGAAGTGGGTCAAAGGGCATGGGTTCTTGTAGTGATCTATAAACTGCAGACATGTCTTATCCAAAAATATAAGCAACCTCAACCTTCATGGCAATACAAACCAGTTGTTCTTGCTTCAGAACTTGTGGATGGTAATCTTCAAGCCAAGGGACATAAAACTCATAATGGTGACTCCATCACAGCACCCAGGTATATGCTTGGTGAACATCTAATCAAAGAATGGTTGAAAGTTGAAACCCACGGTCGTCTTTTTCTCGTCATCCACGCTACACCACGCCCCTGTTGGCTTTTGGGAGACTGCGCATCCAATCGAATGAGAATTGGTCAGCCCCCCCCTAGAGGTCCCACCCGCCAGCAGACGCCCTACGGCCGCCTCTCGCAAGCAGGTTCCGTACGTATACGTCCGGTGGAACACCCCTCTGTCCGATCGAATGGGGGGTGTCTTCCAAAACTGGAGCCACGGAGCCAGAGTTTTCTTTACATACAGCCAGAGAGTCTCTAGAGGCTACAAATCCGGTCCATCCGTCCACAGCCAGTCCGCCGATACTTCGCTCGCTCGCTTCAGCTGGGGCCGGTGACATGGTACTTCCAGCTGCATGCGCTTGACTGGGCAAAAGCGGAGACCGTTGTGGTCGTGCTTTTCTGTTTTTCAGGAGACCGTTGTGGACGTATCAAGTTGATGGCACCCACTTGTTTCTGACAGTTGACTTCGGAGTCCAACCTTTGTGAGGATGGTTTTCTTGGAGCCAAATTTGTTTTAGATCCTCTGGTCTCCGTTTCTACACTCAGCTCGGGTTTTCCCGAATATCCCCAATATAGCGACAGTACAACCTATGTGCCTCACCCCATACACGTCTCCCACAAACTCCAACTCCAACTATTTGTGGAACCGGTCCTCGGTTTCCCACCACGTTGGCATTTCTTCGACCACGGACTTGGAACACCACGAGTTGAGACTCTTTACGGGTCTGATTGTGGGATCTACAACACGAAAGAAGAAAAGCAACCCATGGTACTCCCAGATATTGACGCTAAGCTGCTACATTCCCAAAAAGACACCATGGTGATTTTCCTCTTCCTCTACAGAAAAATCTACACACCCATGTTCACAGGCATCACAAAATAGCAGTTGTCTTTCTTCCGGATATTAATAACGAGAAAGGCACCACCCTATACCCGTCCTCCGGTAATAGCAGAGCACAGCCCTGCCCTTCGAACGCGGATCGACTCGCGCGGCTACGGGAGCCCCGACAGCTGCGAAAGGCGCATCATCTGGCGATTTCGCCATGTGGCGTGGCTTGCGGTTGGGCGAGTTGATCACTTCACGAAAAAATGTGAAGTTCTTTGGAGATGAAACTGGATGTCTGGCGGGTTTCGGATTGTTGCTGTGAAGTGACCCAATGAAACCCAAGCCGACGATTGTTGGTCAAAGCTTTAATCAACACTTCGAAAGACTGCCCCAACACTTTCTTGAGAGGGTAATACCCGTTAAGGATCGAGTGGAAATGTTTGGAAACTAACGTAGAAACCAACTGAGACAAGAAGATCGTCTTCGGTATCTTCCCAACGGCAAACGTCATTACAAAGAAAGTCTGGTAACCACAACCACAAAAGTTTGCCATTCCACGCATCCCTTCACCTGCCGCCTCCGTCCGCACCCGGACACCACGCCAAAACCCAGAACCCGCGCCGGCGGAAACCGGCGGTCCAACCTGAGCTGCATCGGCCACCCCTGGAAGTCCATCCTGCCGAGACGGCGCGGCTCGAAGCGCAGATGGGCTGTGGCTCCGATGGGTGTCTTCCGGTGGGGCCGCGGCTCGGTGAATTCTTCCGCTGGTGGAGTCGTTTCCGCAACCGGATGACTCACACATGGCCACGTTGGCCACCGCGTTTCCCTGGCCACGCCCCCTGCCACTTCTTGAATAAAGGTATATCCTCCCTACAGGGGGCCATGATAGTCCGATCAAAGGCTCGGATGGCTTTGGATGGCTAGTCACCACTCCGCCTATACAGTGCAAATATAGATCCAGGTCATCCGCCTTTGTTGGCTTCCTATGAATCCTGAGTTGAAACTTGTCCGGCTACTCAGAGCCTTTATCTGTCGGGCTATGAGAGTAGAAGTGCACGCCTTGGACTACTAAGGGTTACTCCAACCATCTTTAACCACCTCAAGCTAAAGCGAGCGTTCATTGCTTTAAAAGCGCCAAACCAAACACAGCCCTCATACATGAATGGAAAAGATTGTCTCTTTCACCATCATATCCCACAGTCTTCAGCATCATTGGGGTCTCCCATCCAGATCGTCTATATATATCGACCTTTGTCAAACAACATACTCTTTTGGGTGTGTAACAAACTAGGGAAACAGCCCAAAAGGCTCCTTGGAAAAGGAAAAACACTACCATACAATACCTATTGAGGCAGTGCGCCCCAAAAGAATCCTCCCTCCAAAATCGCGCGCCTCAGACACGGACGCAAGGCCAAAACCATGCCTCAGCCAAGGTGCACGTGTCGCACGTTTCAACGAACACAGAACAGCAAAACTGCTGCGTGGTCCGAGTTGCGACCTCAACGTGGTGAGAGCAGTGGCAAAGAATTACCATGAGGATGGGGCAAACACAGTATCTATCCAAAAGCTGACGGAAACGCCATGTGTGGCAGCTCTGCCAGCTTCTGCCAGCGTCTCGGTCCCATCGATGCTGAAGGACCCGAGCGTCGTCTCCGTCTCCGGTCGTGGGCGACGCTCCGTTCGGGTCTCCCGACGCGTGTGCTCGCCTCATTCGGCAGGCGCAGGTCCATGTGGCGACCAAAACACATCGAAGCAAGATCGAACCCGGGGAACAGAAAAACCAGGGCAACACTAGCAAGGGATGCAGGGCAAAATCCCAGGGGTGCTCCGAAGGGCTCCCGGTTTTTCAAGAGGAAAATGGGTATCCCTGGCTCCAAAGTCGCTCCCTCCCAATAACCAGCTATAAATTCTCGTTTCTGTGGGTGAGGGCGGAGGGACATCTTGGTCTTGGAATATGACGCTCGGTGGTTCCAACCTCTATCGAAACGGGTTTGCAGATGGCTCCACGTTCGTTCTCGATTCTCTGCTAAAGTCTGATAAGACACTTTGCAGATGGCTCCATGGTTTCAAACCTCTCACACTGCCAGTACCCACAGCATGTTGGAATACGGCGTGATCGTACTAATTCGCCATCGCAACGACTGACGGCGAATACGGTGAATACACCACTGAAAAAGCACTGAACCAGATGAAGGGGTGGCAGCAATTGCAGGACGGGGTGCGATCCATGGAGGCTAGGCGTGCCCAGAACATCCACTCACTTACAGTAGGGCCTAAACACCACCCCTGTGACTTCTGTTGACTCCGCTGCATCCCTTCCTTCATTGCCGCTCTATCTTAGGATCCAGCATGATCCAGCCCTGCGAAAGAGGCCGCAGTACAAGTCTTTTGGGTTTGTGGATCCCCTAGCACTGCCGGCCAGACTGAGCATACAAATGAAGACCGGCGACTGCCAGGTTGTTGTCGCTAGCGCTCTCACATCTCATTGCCGCACACAACAGAAACCGCCCCAGCCACACAAAGAGGAAAAACAAAAGATATCCTTTTCTCAGCGAGAAAGCTTTAGACCCAAAAGCACGCACAAAGAGCAAAACACTTCATCTGGTGCCAACATTGGTCAATATTCCACACCTCCCCAACTCCCGTCCAGGCGAACCAACCCCCCAGTCCGCACCGCTCCACCAAGTGACTCGTTCTCCGCATCAACGTGGTAGGAGACTTTCCGCGGTGCCTTTCGTTCAGTGATGTCCTCAGTTTGCCAAATTGGAACCCTCCGGTCATTGGATCATCCTGGTGCTGTTCTTCTTCCTTCATTGTCGAAACCAGTGGACACTGGTAGTGCTTGAGATCTCCATCTTGAAGTCCGATGTGCGAAAGAAAATCTATTTGGAACAACTCAGTTCTTCAACAAAATCCTTCGCCCCATCCAACCAGACCTTTTTTCCACTGACACCAAATTGGCTTGGGGTCACAAGAGATAAAGTCATGCCAGGACAGAGGTTCTGGCATAAGTGAAGATTCAGTTGATGTCTGTCTCACAATCTCACAAAAAAATGTGTCGCTTTCAGGTGTTTCATCGAGATGCCCTTCAGACCAATCTGTTTGCCCTGAATTCTTCGACCGTGACAGGAAAAGCCCGTGTGGGTCTTTGGTGACAGCGCTTCAGTGAGGGACTACCGGAACTGGAGCTGTCAAAATCGAAAATGACGCGCTTTCTAGAAACCAATCCACCCCAGCTGTCAACATCCACAACAATGGATGCTCAAAAACACCTCTTGCCCTACAACCTCAGCCTTCGAAAGAAACTGGCTTCCGCTGTGTGTCCAATCCTTTTCAATGAGCCTCACCCACAATTTAAGAGAAATCATCGGAAACAGAACGAATCACAAGCCATTCAACACAATGTCCGCCCCAAAAAGGCGGCTGCCACCCAAATTCCCTGGCTGCGGGACTTCTTTGACACTTTCACCGTCACTTTGACCGGAATGTCATTCGGCCCTCCCCCACCAATCTGAGCTCCCTAGCCGTTTGAGCCCGGGGCCTTCGATTCTCCTGGCGACAGGTAGGTCAACACAGCCTGTTCAACACAGGTCCTGCCGTTTTTCCTTCGCAGATCGTTGTTACATGTAGTAAAGGGGAACATTGCAGCAATCTGCAGCACTGTAGTACCACTGAGGCCACAAGGGGTATGATCTCCAGCTAATGTGGATGAGTTGAAATGGCTTCCAGCTAAGTGCTTTTGTATGTTTTGCCGCGTTCCACCCAACCAAGCTTCACATCACCTATTTCCGCAGCTTCAAGTTGGTCACAGGAGTTGCCAACGCCAACACTGCCTCCTTTGGCTGGTCATCGAGCTCGAGAAATGTATTGTGCACCACCTGCGGCAGGCGCGCTACCGCAGGTCTCATTTGGGGAGGTGTGGTCCTGTGGAGATGAGTGATACCTTGTCGAATAGCTAGCTAGTGTTCTCCAAAAAAACGATGATGCTACCTCAAACAGAAGGTGTCTTCTGGTCATCGGCATTCTTTTCCAGGTCTCCAACCCGAAGGGCTCAAATCTGGGACAACTACCATCGCCAAACCACCCAAAAGCAACCACCACATCAAGCAGGCCTTGAGCCACCCCGAGGAGCTGCTTCGAACGTGACAAGCGTGACAAACCCTGGCGAAAAAAGAACACCACTCTGTCTCACCCAAAACCCCCGCCGCGAAACCCGCGCAACCCGCGCCGCGCAACCCCCGAAGCTCGGGCGCCCGGACCAACCGCGGAACGGCTTGCCTGACCGGCACCGGTGTGTCGGGTGTCGGATTAGCCGACCGGTGGGAACTGTTTGGGTTCGTCCACGGACGGGTGGGGACCGCGGGGACGGAGCGAGGTGGACTGCGAGGTTCGGAGCAGAAGGAAAAACGATCGTAAAGAAGAAGAGTCGGGGCATTGGGCTGTCAGGCTCTAAGTGAAGTTGTTGACGTAAGTACATTCTGCTCCCAACCTGAAGGCCAAATCCTCGGATCTCCACTGGCTGCCCGAACTCCCATCGGCTGCCCTCCGGTCCTGTTTTCACCCATCCGCAAGGCGTTCCATTGGCTTTCCTAAGTCAGTTCGAGAAGAAGAGCCTCTTTGTCACCATATAGAGTGCAAAAAGGTAAAGCATTGTGACTACTGTATAGCCAGCGGTATTGGCGAAGCGCGACTTCAAAGGCCGCTTCGTGGAATCATTGACCTTCTCGAGGTGCAAGATCTGTCGACATCGGATCAGCAGAATCATCGGGCAAAGGAAGGAGACGGAGAGACCTGCATAGCCGCCCACGTACTGGATCACCGCTTGCACATCGGTGGTGATTAGAGCCACCGTGAAGGGTGGCACCAAGACCGCCAGCGTGAGACAGCCCGTCTTGGAGCACAGCGACACGCCCGCCTCCGGATCCGGCGGTTTCACCTGAAGCCATTGACCCATGGTATTCCGTGTGGTGATGGCTGCGATGGGAATGCTGGCAATGGCCATGGCCGGGTAAGCCAGCAAGAACAAAGCCACTGAGCCCCCCGCGAGGCTCAAGGGAGCAAAGTTGAGGTTGTACAACGGCTGGATCTGGCAATAGTGCCCCCCAGGCCTCGAAGAGCACTTGCTCCAGGTTTCTTCACCCCATGCCACCAGGGCTGTGGCGCAAATTGAAACGATGAGGAGATAACATGACGAAAAGGCGGTGATTATCACCTTGGGAGCCTGTGTTTGCTCCTTGAGTGGTGAAATCATACTTGGAAGATAGTGGTGAATGCCACAGAGAAAGACCGAGTTTCCAAAGACTGCAACGAAACCACTGGGCTTCCAGAGTGGCACGTCCTGCAGTATGCTCCCCAGACTCTCCCGTTCCAGTCGTTCGATGCACTTGTAAATGCCCACCAGCAGCAGAATGGCAATGGCCAGGAAACGGCACCACATGATTACGACGGTGAAGGCCTTGGTATTCTGCAAATTCTTGAAACACAAGGGAAGGGTGATGAAGAACACCACGATCACACAGCAGGTGTAGACCTCATTCGCGTTCAGCTCACCATAGCCTATGAGCCGCCAAGCACCCAGAAGTGTATGAGCCAGTGATTGATTCACGGTGACCACCAAGGCAGAAACCGTGCCATAGGTAAAGCTTAGGATCATCACCTGTCAAAAGAAGAGGAAACTCAGAAAAGTGTCCTTTAAAAAGGCCAAGAACCCTATGATGCACTTTTTTAGGTTAAGAGGATCAATCCTACCCGTACCCGTGGTGAGCACCACTATCCGTCCAGTGCGCCATGCCACAATCGTCATCGGTGCAAAAAAGTGAGCCAAAAAGAAAAGCGCATCCTCTGAAAACGATCCAAAAAAGGACACCTCCCCATAAAACTGGTACAAATCAAACGTTTCTGACACCGTCTCCAAAGTCCCATCAGCTTCTTGTTACTACTAGTAAGGCACTTGTTACTACTAGCGATGCACCGGTTTCTAATAGCGAACACTGACTATGAAGTGCTGATTTCAAGTCCAAGTCACATAAATCGTGGCAGCAATGACCTTATCCGATCCTTTCTTGAGCACCCGCTCCCCCACGGCTCCCAGCTCCACGCGCTCGCAGATCTTGAACTCACGATCCGGATTCTTCACACGGTTCTCAGCTTGAAAGACCTGCAGGATGGTGCAAGAAGGACTTCCGCGACATGTTTTTGCAGTTCTTGTGGGTGGTCTCCAAAAAGATGCTCATCCTCTTTTGAAAAGGGGTGCTTGGATGGCAACATCTAGTTACTTGTGACATGGTGGCTGGTCTCAAATGGCTGGTCATCCCACGTCGGTTCAGAAGCCAAGAGGACGATGCTGGGATAGTACAGTGATCGATATTGATCTGCACGGTAGGGCACGGGATTGGAGATCTTGCTCCCTCCTAATCAGTCTCATCCCGAAGTCCTGGAGATTTTGCCCATGTTCCCAACCTTCCAAAAAGCACCCATCAAAACCACCCTTTTGTGACCTGAATGAAAGGATGTCCTCGAAGTGTAGGGAAGGTTGAGACATGGACCTTTCCTGATCCTTTTTCTGAAAACACACATATGTCCAGGTATTGCGCCACTGGCTCCGCGTTACTATGTTTCTGAAAACAAAGTGACCAGTGTTCAACTTAATTGCTGGGTGACGTCTTGTTCTGATACCCAAACATCCAACGTCAAACCGGTCTCGTCCAAAAAGTGTTTTACATCCATTCGTCCCAGCTGGCGGAACCGCCGTGCTTCGTTTCCCGGTTCACCCTCCGCCAGCTCGGCGGCCCGGGAATCGGACGGCCTCCAAGGTCTGGCCCCGGAAGGGCCGGAAGTCTACGGCATTGAAGTCCAGCAGCTTCTTTCTCATGGAGTTGCTCTCATCACCACGTGCCACCTCGTCGATGGCGTCGCGGAGAGCTTGTCGAACTTCCGGCGCCTGGTGTTCCAGCACTTGCTTCTCCGCCGCTTCGTACTCCAACGCATTGGCGATGGTCAAGGCCTCAGGCTGGCACCAACTGGCAAGTGGCGGTGCACGGATGGTTTTTGAAGGTTTCATCCTGGAATCCTTCCCCTAAATGTGTGGTTGCAAGCCAACTCCTGCTTCAATCTCATACGGTTGCTCCTATGGTCATGACTTGGATCACCCTGGTTCTGTCATACGGGGGGCTCCTTCATCCAATTTGATTTAACCTTGCTGAACATGGAGTAGCGGATTGACGGAACAAACGATGCAGGGTATGCAGAACCTGGACGGAACAGGCTCCAAAAAAGCGACGCTCTGCGCGAACGCACCGGATGAGATCGGCCTCACACATGAAGGTGGCAGTGATAAACGAGATGATCATGCAGCCCATGATGATGAGAGCACCCAGGAGGAGCCCTGCTTGCGCAAAGCCATAGGGCAAGGTCAGCAAAGAGAGCCCTGCACTGCACTGGTGATGTCCACCATTTGGGATTAGAACAAAAAATCAAAAAAGATATTCGCCGTGCCACGGTCCCACCCAGCCTGTCAAAGAATTCATCATGAACAGTACACCTTCGGAGAACTTCATCTTGCTGCCGAGTGGATTCTTGATCCGCTGATCGGCGGCTAAAGAGAATTGACGTTGAAAGTCCGCATTCTTGGTCTGCGGAAAGATCCGTGAGGGCTCACTGGGCATTGGCTCTTCGGTTGCGGCGGCCATTTCCACCAAGAGTGCAAGGGAGCTAGGGCCGCTGCTGGGTCTGCTGGTCTACTGAAAGAGCACAGGAAAAGGTCATGTCTAGTACTGTAACTCTTTGCACTGTTGTAAATTACCAACAGTCAAAAATATAGAGTTGTTGAAAATGTGGACAACTTGCCAATGGCACTGAAGCATGACCTGTTCACAAAATTGCAGGTTTACGAGCAAGCCAAAACGGCTGTGGAAGCTGGTCATGTTGGGGGGGCGCCCCTTGAGGGGGAGCTGGTGCTATCGAAAAATAAGCACGCCCTTTTCATGTGAAAGGCATGTTACCACCCACTGGACCAGACATTAGGGCCTTGTGTTCGGGTGTGGCTTGGACCCCTGAACATGTTGTAGCCTCCAAACCGGCGCTCCTTTCCCAACCGGAGTGTTTTGGAAGAAGAGGATTGGGATTCGGATCCTCCTGCCTGCAGCCCAAACAGCCGTAAACGGCCCTAAACATCTCCCACATCCTCCTTGCCAACTCCCACACCTCGCCTTTCATCGATCATGGTCTCTCCGCCCCGCGCCCCTCGCGTCTGTGAGCGGCTGGGTTCCGTCTCCGCCGGTCTCCGAGCAGGTCGTCGCGGCCAGTGAACCGATGCACAGCGCGTGGCCCCGAACAAGGGGTCCGAGGGGCCGTGGTCGTGGCCCCTGGGTTGCATGGTGAGGAGACCTGTGGCGCTCGGCGCTCGGGGCTCGACTCCGAACCCTCGTAGTGCGGCGTCCGAGTTCGGGGAAGACCGTGGAGCTTCATTGACAGCTCGAGCCATGGTGAATGGTCCCAGAAGATGAAGCCCCATGCAAAAACAAGTGTGGGATGGCTCTGTACACTGTACTCGCCCCCTGTGTATCTTCTCGGTGTCTCCCTGACGCTGAAGGGGACTTTTGGTTGCTGGTGTAGTAGAAGATTGGTCCAACAGCAAAAAGCCATGGTTCACTGCTACTTTGGATGGAGAAGTGATTGTTTCCGAACCAGTCCCCACAAAAACCGGGCACGATCAAGGTACTTGTGCGACAAGAGCTATCCCCCTTCATCTACTGGTCGGCCCAGCAGTCCGCGGCTGGCTAGGCTGGATACCCAAACAAGATGTGTGAAAATCACACTGTTCGACTCGAAGTGCGAAACCCCGAGTCCCTCTACTGCACGTTCTCTGATTGACGCAACATCCCACCCCAACGACACAAAATCTCGAGTCGACTGCCAACGTTGTCAAATTCCCCATCGCAGTGAGCACGTCTCAAAAGCACGTCCCACGGATCATGGAAAATAAATGGCACGCCAGACCTGGCGCAGACCTGCAAAAGAAATGGCCCATCCTTCAAGGAATTGGCTGAAGAGAATACCATGGAATATCTACAGGGAACCGTGGTTGGAACCCCCAAAAAACTATGGGTAGGTTTTCCCTGTAGAAAACATTCTGGGAACCTGAATCCTGAGTTGTTCATCTCACCTTTCTTGGTCTGATGCCGTGCCGCTCCAGAATCTGGAGGCTCTTGTTATCATCATGCGCTGTGGAACTCATAGAACTTTTATGAGTTCCATAGCACCACATGATGCAACCATCATACAACTCAACAGAAACACTCCGCTGTCGACCTTGTTCACAGCCATCCCGCACGGTGTCGACCACGGGGCCCTCCTCCGCACGGAACCGGCTTTTTCAGCTCAGATCTTCCGTCGACTCGGCGCTCCCCTACCGTCTCACCTGACAGCGGTCCGGTGGCTTCCCGGGTCGAACCGCGAGTTGACTCGGGGGGGG